CAGGTTGGGAGCGAGCGGCAGCGGGAAGAGCCTCCTGGGTCCCACGGAGACTAGCTCTGAGGTGAGAAGCTGGGTGTGAGCGCAGCGGGGGCTGGAGGGCAGGCAGCCCCTCCAAGTGTCTTCTGCAGGTTGTCCACACCTCTCAGAGCATGCTGGTGTTTACAGCTGGTTGCCGTGGTGAGTCCTAAATATTAACCCATGTCCCACAGTCCTCGCTCGAACAAGAAGGGTTATCGCAATGTGGGCTGGCACAGCCGCCGGGGAGCTTTCCCCCGAGGGAGAGGCAGACAGGAGCCCAGACCCACAGATCCAGCAGTCTCAGGTGGGCACAGAAAGGGCAAGGCACCTGGAGAGGCACAGCCCTTGCTTTCTCTCCCTCCTTGGAGAGGCTGAGGTGGGGGAGTAAAATCAGTGCCTGCCCTCTGGTGAGCTGTGGACAGGTGGCTCTTTGCTAGAGAGAAAACAAAGGCAAGGAATCAACTGGTCAGCCAGGAGTCCAAATCACAGGGCACGTGCTTCTGGACTGACTCCGATCCCAAGAATAAAGTCTGCTTGTGGCTCAAAAGCAGCACTTCACTCAGCTAGAGGTTTAGATAAAGCACTGGTGGATAAGAGGTGGGGGCAGGAGGGAGGCAAGGAGGGGACTTTTTTTTTTTCTATTTATGTTAAACTATTCTATAACTATTTTAAAACTTTTTTTATTATTATTATAGTCCCTCATGGACAGCATGGCTTTGTTTATTTTTATGTGGTGCTAAGGATGGAAACCAGGGCCTCACGCATGCCAGGCAAGTGCTCTGCCACGGAGCCACAGACTCAGCCTGATTCTGTAACTATCTTTTATGGCAAATTGAGAATTTTTTTTTTTTTTTAGAAGAAAACACGATCCTTCATCTCCTGGTGGTTCTGGCCTGGCTGTTTAGATGCTTGGTCACCCCCTGGTGGCTGCTGGCCATAATTGCAGGCAAAGCGCCTGAGCTTGGGGAGCAGGTCTGAAGAGTGGAGCCACATTGGGTGGACCAGGGAGGCGGAGGGCCACAGCATGGGAGCCGCTACAGCTAAGCTTCTCCATTTTCCCGGAAAACCTTATAAAGAGAGGCCCAAGAGCTCAATGGGTAAGGGTTGGGGGTGTCCTACCAAAGCCAAAGCAGCTACAGGTCCAGGGTGGAAACAAGATGGAGGAGAACCCAAGAGTGTTAACAGAGGACTGGGGCAGGCCTGCCCAGTGGAATTTCCTTCAGCCATAGAAATGTGATACGCTGTGCCAGCCAGCATGGCTACTGAGGACTCCGGACGGGGGCAGTGTGACTGAGGAATCAAATTTTAGGGTTAGTTTAATTACTTTCAATTTAAATAGCCAGATATGGCATGTGGCTGTCGTATTGGACACAGCAGGAAGGAAGGGATCAAAGAAGTGTATGTTCAGAGCCCTCGACCAGGTGTGATGAGGTAGGCAGCTAGGCATCATCCTGTTGCTATTCACGTTCTAAGCAGGGAGCAAAGAGGAAGGCAGAGCCCCTCACCTCGAGACACTGTCGTTCCATAGGAGGGAACTACGGGACTCCTGGGGGTTGGGGACCCCACACCTGGACACCCACTGTGGGAGAAGAGTCCCTGATTGAGAGGATGCGGGTCTTTCTGGGCAGCGCTCTCAGTGGGCAACTATAATGGTTGGTGTTGTCAGTACTGCTCTAGGGTCAGGGTCTTCAGGGGCTAAACAACGTCGCCTTTCGAGTTTCACATCAAAGCAAGGTTGGCTCACCAGGTCTGACAGCAAGTGGGTGGAAGGGACTAGTGTGCCATTCAGATTTCAAGGGGCCTAAGGTGGCCTGAGAACTCACAGTTGTGCAACTTGTTCCATTAGTTCTCCCAGGGTCTCCCTTTCTTGTGAGAATGTGTTTTGCTGAACAAATAAATTTAGAAAACATTATTTTTAAGGGTCTTTTTAGTTGTAGATGGACAAAATGCCTTTATTTTATTTATTTGTTTTTATGTGGTGCTGAGGATCAAGCCCAGTGCCTCACATGTGTGAGGCAAGCACTCTACCCAGCCCCCTAGAAAGTGTTATTTTTTAAAAAGAGATGTTCAATTCTAGTCCTGAAAAGTCCTGGGACTCAGTTTTTCCCCTGGTGTTGTCAGGGGCCAGGAGCAAAACCAGCCAAGCAGCAGAGGACACCTGGACAGAGGTGCATCCCCCGGGATAGGGATGCAGACCCGCAGGAGGGGTCAGCAGTCCTGGGGGATCCCTGTGTCTAGTTGTTTCATTTTAGTTTTTTCAGTTCTAAGATATATTAGCATTAATAAGAATCTATATTTGCATGATGATGAATTTGCAAGATCTCCTGATCTTTCCTTAGGCTTCATAGCATCCTCCTGGGAGCTGTGGCAGGATGGAAAGGGAGAGGGGAGAGACTGGACGCCTCACCTGGCCAGCATCTGCAGTCCTCAGCACAGTCACGCTGTGCAGGGACAGGTCAGTCAGTGAGGACACATGCTGACGGTACCTATGGCTCACAGCAGGCTCACAGGCCAGGTATGTGCGCTGAGCCTGCGCCTTCTGATGAACCTCTGAGTGTCCCCATAGTCAGCTGACACGTGGTGTCCCCAAAGTTAGCTGGCACGTGCGCACGTTCCTCAACTGCCATTAAGTTTTGGGGAAACACACACGCGTGCGCGCACACACACACACAACTGCCCTCACTCCTCATGCTTCAAGGAGTTAAGTCTGAGTCCCAGGAAAGGTGCAGAGTGAGCTGTTTCACCCTAGTCACCTGAACTCCTGGCTCTGCAACCTGTGCAGGGCCAGCCCCTTAAAAATCACCTGGGGAAGTTGTTAAAATAGAGACACACCTGAGCACGGCCTGAGAGTCTCATTCAGCGCATCTGAGAATCTACTACAAAATAAAACAAAGCTTCGAGGTGATTTGGACATGAACGCCAGGTTTGGACTGGCTGGTGAGTCACCGACCTCTGACCCTGCCTGGCATGATCCACTGTTGTTATGGAAGCCACCGATGGGCACCCCAGCCGCCATGAGTTTTGGATTTGACTACTTTGTTTTTTTTTTTTTTTTTAAGTACACATCTGTTTCAAAAGCAGAGGGCCTTGTTTTTGGAAGACAGATATTTTCTTCTCTGCAGATATTCACATGTAGAGAAGCGGTGAAGCTCCCACAGAGCAGAGCACACTCTCCTCTGAACCAGACTCCTCTGCGTCAGTCCACCTGGAAGGAGACAGAGGGGTTCTCTCCAGAGCTGAGTCCCAGATGAGCCGTTGGAGGTGCTTGGCTGGGGAAGTTGTGGGCCCTGCTGGTCCACCTGGAAGGAGCCAGAGGGGTTCTCTCCAGAGCTCAGTCCCAGATGAGCTGTTGGAGGTGCCTGGCTGGGGAAGCTGTGGGCCCTGAACCCCCCTGGTGGTCTGGGGACAGCAGTACCCATCCAGGGTGGCACAAGGCTCTGGCAACTCCGGCTTGAGGCAGACCTGAAAGGACAGTCCTGTGGAAGTCACCAGCAGTGACCTACAACGCCCCCACACTGCGCCACATTCACACTCTGAACTGAGCACAGCCATGCCCGTCTTCCTTCCGAGAGACCAGAAGAGGTGAGAGGAGGACCAGGAGGGGCTTTGTGGCTTCCCGGTGCAAAGCCATCCTAATGTGTTGAGAATGTAACGATTCCTTGAAGTTCTCTTTTCTTTCGACGCCGGCTGCACTGGGGATCCAGGGCCTTCCTGGGTCCTGACGGATCTCCTTGGGACACCGCCCAGAACTCCCCTTGCAAAGCCACTCATGGGCTCTTTCACCGTGTTGGCAGTGTGGGCAGCTTTAACAGGAGGGCGGGCAGGGCCCTGTGGGGACCGGCTGGGTGCGGTAGATGCCTCCCTGCGGTCTGTGTCACAGAAGGAGCCGGTCACGTGTGGACGGCCACCATGCGGTTCTCCTCCCAGCCTGCCTGCAGCGCTCCTTGGCCTCAGGCAGAGGTGCTTTTAAAGAGCCACAGCCTCTGCGCCCAGTCCCATGAACCTGCCAGTGCTTCTGCCTGGCACGGGGCATGGCCAGCTTAGCCTCAGACCTGCCCGCATTCTCACCACCCTCCTGCCTGCACTCGGCACCTCATCCTGCCGTGCACCCATGGAGCACAGTCTCCACCCTCCCACAGCTGCACACCCGTCCCCAGCCCTGCCACCCCATGGGAGACCAGAGCACCCCTCTGCTAAGACAGCCACCTCCTGTCCACGCATCTCCCCCAACACACAGCAGCTGTTTCTCCCGCTGCCAGCTGACAGCAGACCTCGAGCCCCCACCTGGGCTCCTGGGAAGGGGCTGTCACCCGGAGACGCTGGGGCCACATGCCAAATTTACTCCTAGAGGACATATTGGGTGGATTAATTGTTCAGGTCTGAGGACATGAAGAGCAGCTGACACAATGACCAAGAGGAATGACAGTGAAGGAGAGAAGGAGCCAGGAAGGGGCAGAGAGGGCTCTTGATGAGGGCGGGGGGGGGAAAGGGGGCACGTGGGTGACATCGCCGTCCCATGGATGGGCTCCTCCAGGCATTCTTCCTTGCCAGGCTCGCCCGTCCCCCTCACGTGGGGACCCGCAGCTCACCCTGGGCCCTGGGCTCCTTCTCCTGCATTTGCTGGGCCACAGGAGCGGGGAGACCGCCCCTTGCTCAGGTGGTCTGTGAAGCCGTCCACTGGAGTCCAGGTGGCACCCTGTGCACCCTGGAGCTGAGGGACGTGCCCTCCTGTCTGCCCCCCAGGCCTCCCCAGCTCCCAGCAGGTGAGGGCCCTTACCCCGGGGCCGGCTGGGACCTCAGGGCTCAGGGTATGGTCCAAGTCCTGTGGACATGGGTGGTGGGTATGAAAGATGGCGGGATTCACCCGTCAGATTCTCAAAGGACCCCAGAAGGACAAGGAGCCCTGACACCCTGAGCCTGCCCCACCTGGCACCTGTTTGGAGCAGGGCAGGCTGGGGCCCAGGTGGCGGGCAGCATGGTACCTTGGAAGCAGCCATGACAGCGGCTGTGGCTGCCACGTTCAAGCCGCGCTTCCCGAAGTGCACGAGGGCATCGTAGCTCTTGTCTTTCGCCTGGACCAGGCAGTCATCAATTTCCTGTCAGAGGGAAGACGGGTGCGCTGAGCAGGCAGCTGCGGCCACCTCCTGCCCTCCCAGCTCCCAGGCTGGCAGCTCCCCGTGGGATTCTCACTGGCCCAAGAGCCACCGGTACCGCCGTGGGCTGTGCAGACCACAGGGACACGGGCGAGGGGCGGGGAGTGGGCAGAGACCAGCCCGGGGCTGGCCCAGCAGGGCCTGGGATTGTGAAGTCCCTGCCTCCTGCACGCGGCTGCTCCAGAAGCCACGGCCAGAAGCTGGGGCAGACTCCCACCCCACCCTGCAGACCATGGCTGCAAGGCCACCACAGTCTCCTGGGGAAAGGGGACAATCATGACACGGAACCCGTGGCTCAACAGGCCTGGCCGAGATCATTCCGTAAGCACCACATGGAGCTGGATTTGTAGGTGGAAATGTGGTCTGCTGACCCCTGCAGGTGGCCCTGGGGTCCTGCTGTTCTGTTGAGGTCTATGAGCCAGCGTGGCCGAGTGTGTGGGGACAGGAGGGTTAGGATGAAGAAGGAAACGGGTGCTACTTATTGACCAGGGTGACTGTTTCACAGATTCCAGAGCAAAAGCAGAACCAGGAAGGCGCTGGTGCCCTTCAACAAGGCAAAGGTGAGGGACCGGCTGAGGTCTCCTCCACACAAAGCCAAGGGAGGCACTGGTTTCTTGGCTGGTTTTGGGTTGCTTGAGGCTCAGGAGCTCATCTCAGAGCTCAGCCAGATGATGACACCTGGCCTCAGGCTGGCTCAAAGCCCAGCATGCAGTGTTTCTGTGCTCAGAGGGAGTGGGCTCCCAGGAAGTCCCACGGCCCCACCTTGCCATCCCCCAGAAGTGACTCAGCACCTCTTGAGAGGCAGGGCCCTGCACTTGGAAATCAGGCTGCAGGGGAGGCCCAGCGCTGGGGGAGGGGGAGGACGAGCAGGACTAGAGGCCAGGTCCAGATGGATCCACTCCCCTAATCCCCCTTAGGGGACTGAGGAACAGTGCTCCACTCCTACAGAGCTTCCAGAAACTTACACAGCAGCCTGTTCAGCCACTGCCTGGCCTCCGCTCAGAGTTCCCCAGGAGGGAGCACAGGGCTCTCCACCTCCAGAGGCTGTGGGGAGCAGCTCCCAGCCACCCACGGGGCTCCTATTGTATTTTTGTGGTCCTGAAAATTGAACCAGCAGGGGTCACATCCCCAGCCCTTTTTACTTTTTATTTTGAGGCAGGGTTTCCCTAAGTTGCTGAAGCTGGCCTTGAGCTTGCAACCCTCCTGCCTCAGCCTCCCAAGTTGCTAGGATTACAGATGTGTGCCATGGAGCCTGTTCTATTAGAAAATAATAAAACCAATGAATTACACAATATTGGACTCCTTTGGCCCGATAATCCTGCCCTTGGGATCTTACTCCAAGATGGAGAAGGAACCACACTGTGCACCTGGTGATGTCCACTGCAGAATCACTTTCCCCAGGAAAAGATGAGACAGTGTGGGCAGTGGTAAGGGACAGTCCCACTATGGCGGGCACTGTTGAGACTACGTGGACGTGTATCATGTGCAAACACATCAGAGACCTCAGAACATAAATACTGCTACTCATGTCAAGGGGTTTGATTTTGCTTGGAGGCTGGGCCTCAAGCTCCTGGGCTCAGGAACCTCCTGCCTCTGTCTCCCACGTGTGGGTGGCACACACACACCCCCTACTCCCAGCTTGTGTTTTAAAAGTCTTTTCAAAAAGGATTCCATGTAAAATTGTAAATAGTTACATTAAAATCCCATCTGCAGAAGGAGAGGGCCAACCACGGCCAAGGGGAGGGGCTTCAGCTGGGGGCAGTGAACTGCAATGGATGTTTTACTTTTCATTTTAATTGATGGAAATGTTACAATCCATAATGATAAATAACATCTGTATAGTATTTCACCACTACTCCTAACATGTCCAAAATCATACTTGAAAAAAAAAAAGAAATCAGCCAGGCGCAGTGGCGCAGGCCTGTGACGCCAGCGACTCGGAGCCCGGGGCCTCTTCCTGGTTTCAGAAGCGCCTCCCCCTTAGCAGGATAGCCTTGCCTCCTGCCTGTCGGCTCTCAGGGCTTCTGACCAGTCCTTAGGTGTTCCACCTCCAGGGGCCACCTGGCTCCCTTCTCTTGTCCTGGATCTGAGAGCAAAGGCTCGCAGCCTCCCCCACTCATATGACACTGCCTGCGAGTCTGCTTAGATGGCCTTTGTCATGATGAAGTTTTTACCATGAAGGTATGTGGGATCTTGTCAAACGCTTCTTCCTGTACCTGTTGAGATGATCATATAGCTTCTATCCTTCATTTTGTTGCTCACAAAAGCTAAGCTATGGAACAAACCTCATCTAGGAAAAATCAATAAAGAGAATGTGGTACACATACACAATGGAATATTATTCAGCCTTAAAAAAAATGTGTTGCAGCTAAGTGGAGGAACTGGAGGATGGTGTGTTACGTGAATTAAGTCAGACACAGGAAGACAAGCACCTCATGTTCTGCCTCATAGGTGGCTGCTGAACACAGCCATCTGAATGTAGGATAGAGACCGGGGTGGAGGCAAGTGGGAAGCTGGGTTCAGATGCACAGGTAGGAGTAAACGCTATTGTTCTGTGGCAGGTGGGGCGACTGCAGTTCACAATGGCCCTGGTATATTTTAGGAAGAGCCAGGAGAGGAGCTGAAAGGCTCAGAGGCTGAGTAATGCTCAGGGGGTAGAAACGCTCACCACCCTGGCTGATCATTGCACACTGCATCCAGGTGTTGAGTTCTACGCTGTCTCCCACTCGTGGCACAATTAAGTAATAATAATAAGTAAACAATTAAAAAAAAAACAAAGTGTTACAGAAACAATTTAAAAAGGGATTAGTAGGAACAGCTTATCGGGCTCCAGGAACCCAGCAAAGGGGCTCCTGCAACCTGGTGCTCTGCCCCTCGCACTGGCCCTGTCCTCATCCTCTGCTCCCGGGACGCACATTACCTTCTCTTTCGAGGACAGCGTGGGGTGCACGAACTTCCTGTACAGGAGGCTGGAGCCTTTTGTGTAGGGGGACAGCAGCCAGGCCACAAACGCGATTTTCAGTTCATAGTAGAATGGGAACCTGGGGAGACGAGAAGACACGCCTCCATTAGGCTCCCAGCAACTCCAGGCTGGGCACATGGACACCTCAGCCCTCATGGGGAGGCCAGTCCCAGCTCCTCCTCTGCCCACGAAAGGCCTGCACACATGTACCCATGGCTCAGTCTCTTGGGTCATGAGCCCTCCATGGGCTGCATGTGGGTCACCGCACATCGAGCCTAGTGGATAGGAACATCTGGTGTCTGGGAATGACCAGTGGACATTCTCTCTCGTCAATTGCCCAGGGACAGTGTGAATTTCTATTCTGCTCTGCGGGGGCCCACACAGCACCTGAGACGGGTGTGACCTGCTGAGATGCCAATCAACCTGCTGACTGACATCACGAAGCAAGACTCGCCTTTGGAACCTTGCCCCTGCCCTTGATGTCCCCCTTAAATAACCCTCCAGAGCCATCTTTCCTTGGTCTCGTTCCAGCACCCACAGGGACTGGATGTATAGGGCTCCGCTTTCATAAATGTATTTCTGACTCTTTGTATTTTGTTCTTCACTAATTATTTTAGACTTCTAGTTTCCAGGTAGTTTACGCCCTCCTCCTGTTCTAGGGATCTCTGAGCATAACTGACGTCTTCCTTCCTGACAGTCATCTCCATGTCTCTGCGGCACACCACACCTGATTAGAACAAAACATGATGCTATGTTGGGGTCACCTGTTACAGTCTGAGGGGTCAGAAAGGTAAGTCCTCCCCAGGTACCTGCTCAGGTAGGGGAGCCCCCATGAGCCACACCCCACCCCTTATTTTATTTTGAGACAGGGCCTCACTAAGTTGCTGAGACTGGCCTTGAACTTGCAATCCTCCTGCCTCAGCCTCCCGGGATGCTGGGATTATAGGTGTGCACCACCAAAAAGGAACAATTCCTAACAAGTCGCTTTAGGCTCTGCTCACACAGAATACCCACCCCAATCTGCAGCTCCGCCTTCTCTTCCTTTCCTCACCAAGGTCCCGACCCCTCTGCTTTCTATAAGGTCTTCCAGAATATTCCCTCAGCAACGAGGGGGCACTTTCCTGGCAGGATTGTTTCATGTTTCTCGCCCAGAAAAGGGAGGCTTTGAAAGAACAGCGTGACCACCTCCCTCATGACCACCTCCCCCCCACCTCCCCCGTGACCACCTCCCCAGGAGTGCCCTGGTGATCAACAATGGAGGAACCTTGGAAAACAGTCTTTGCAGGCCCAGGGAGAGCCGGTGAGTCTGAGCTCAAGCACCACAGAGGTCACATAGCAGCCCAGGGGCACCTATAACGCTGCAGCTCTTTCATTTATTATGTAAAAGAAGTAGGTCAGGCAGCACAAAGCTAAAACCAAGCCAAAGGCCCAGGAGTGTAGGAGGAAGAGTCTCCTCCCACCAGACCCCTAGACCCCATCCCTTGACCCTTTCCTAAGTGAGAACATCCCCTGCTAGTGCATCTTTTGGGGGACGGTGCTGGGCGACACAATCACAGGTGCGAAGACTCCCTTACCTGCCCTCCAGGAGCCCTCAGCCTTCCATATGCCCCCTTCTACACCGCACCCCAGCAAGCACAGTGGACAGAGGCCCTGGGGCGCCTCACACAGCCCTGTCTCAATGGCTGCCCCCAGGCCCCGAGATGGACGGTCTTGGGGTGGCCGGGTCTACAGAGAAGCTGCGAGCAAGCCTCCTGTGCTTTATGTTTTTTTAATGGGATTGAACCAGGGGCACTTTACCACTGGGCCACATCCTCAGTCCTAATTTTTTTATATATATATATGTATATATATGTGTATATATATATATATGTATATGTATATATATATATATATATATATATTTCCCCATTTTTAAATTTGTTTTAATTAGTTACACATGACAATACAATGATCTTGACATCATACATTTGAATCAGATGGGAAATAATTTTTTCATTTTTCTGAGTGTACAGGTTATATATATATATATATATATTTTTTTTTTTAAATGTTTATTTATTTTTTAGTTGTTGTTACACCCAATACCTCTATTTATATGTGGTGCTGAGGATCGAACCCAGGGCCTCACACATGCTAGGTGAGCGCTCTACCACGGAGACACAGCCCCAGCCCCCCTAATTATATTTTGAGGTCTCCCCAAGTTGCCCAGGCTGGCCTGGAACTTGTGGTCCTCCTGTCTCAGCCTCCCTAGCGGCTGGGATTACAGGTGTGCACCACCATGCCTGGCTGGTGTGTGCTTCTTTACACACCACGTGAATGCATGTGCAGCCCGAACGCCCGGAAGAGGAACTTCTGCATGAGCTTTGTAGTCAGAGGAGACCCCTCCGTGTAGCTTCGAGGAAGAGCACCTGATTCCCACAGCCACGCCCTCATGGTATATGGCCAACCCTAAGAGCCTGTGCCTAGGCTGCGAGATTAGGGCCTGTGGGACAAGACTGCAAAGTGCTTTTGAGCTGCTCAGGCCCCATTTATTCCCTTTCAAAACACATTCTCACTTGTGTGTGTGTCCCAGCCCTTTAACCATAAACAAGATACTAGGCACCACTCACAGCCCCTTCACCTAAGATACAACACATCAATGCAAAGAACTGATGATTTTTAATTATTCCATTGCTAAGCATAGCTGTATTGCTTATAAAATAGGAACCAAATTAAATATCCACCAAAAAGACATTAGTAGCAGAGTGCAATCCTCTTACCTCAGCCTCCGTAGCTGCTGGGGTGACTGGTGAGCACCACTGCGTCCCCTGTTCCTTTTTTCTTTTCTTTTGACATTTAAATCCTCTACCCAGTGCATTAATTGGGGGAACTGGGCCTGTATTGCCCGTATCCCTAGCAGCTTGGACAACACTTGCTCTTGAAGGTCATTCAATAAATATATACTTGAAGAACAAATTTTATAGACCTCATCATCAAAAGTAATCCAATTAACAGGCCTGCACCTGCGCCAAGGTTTGGATTTCAGCCCTGACTTCCCTTCCCTCCCCTCCTCCCGCCTCCCACCAGGCAAAACTATCCTGGAAATGTCTCCATTCCCAGAGTCCTTACCAGCACAGGAAGATATCTGTGAATGTCTCAGCCGTGGTGAAAAGTGCGAATATGATCCAGTACATCATCCACTTGACCTGCAGGGAGACAGCACAGAGCTAGGAGAAAGGGCAGGTGTTGGTGGCGCCCAGGTGGCCCCTGTCCACTCCCCGCCCCTCCCAGCTCACGTCCAGCTGTACTCCATACGCTGGGGCTAGAAATGGGGCCTACAAATGGCCCTCCCACAGCCGACCAGGCTCAAGGTCAGATCCGACCCTGTTAGACCCTGGTGGCCTTTCGTAGCCTCAGGTGAGCAGGGAGAGACCAGGAGTGACCAGGCTACAGCCTGGCCCTTGTGCTAGGACTACCATCTGGCGATCCAACACCATAGCCTCCACAGTGATGCCCCAGGATGGACCTGTACCAGGCCAAGCATCCTCAAGGGTCATTTAGAACCCTTTCTTGTGGGCAGGCCCCAGGGCCACCTGCAAGACTGTTCAAGTCCCTCCCTGGTGACATCCTTTCTCTCTCCTCTGCCCCTCTCCCTCTCTCTTGAACTCCTGCAAAATGCCCCTGAGTGCTCCTTTGCCAGCTGGCTCCCCTGTGGCCCCTTCCCCTTCAGCCCTGTGCAGTGGCCAGGGCTGGGCTGATCTCCTGACAGCCGTTGCTGAGCCTCAGCAAAGCCCTTCAAAACCACTACTTGAAGGTACCCGAGCAAAGAGGCAGAGGCAGAGAGGAGGGGCCAGCCCTGGGGGAGCCGTGAGGGAGAGCCCCCCTGGAACTCCTGAGGACAATCCAGGCCGAGGCCGGGGACTCAGCAGCCTGTTGGGTGAAGACTGGAGAATGGAGTGTGAGGCCCAGAGTTGCCAGAGTGGAGAGGAGGAAATCCCAGAGTCGGGAGGCCCCCAAGTCTACATTTAATGCGCCTTCAAATCCTTGGCCGGCTCTTGAGTGGCACAGAACCAATGAGACTCTGAAATGTTTACTTTGGCATTAAAGAAACAAGCAAATCAACAGAAAGCTGAAGGAGTTGGGCAGGAATTCTGTTTCTCTTCACTGCAGGAGAAGCACGCGTGGAGTTCAAGTCCTGTCTCACTGAGGGACCTAGGCAATATTTTGGAAGCTCTCCTGAGACATCTGGGGGCCAACTTTAGGAATAAAATTTGCATGTCAGCACTAAGGGATCAGCTCTCGGACTAAAGGCAGAACTGAAATACAGGTAAGATCTGACCCAGGGTGGAGGGGCCCAGTCACACCTGGACTGCCTGCTTGGCACACTCACTTTCCACAAGAGGGCAACAGACGGCTGAGTTTCTACCGTGTGTCCTACATAAAGCCCAGCACAATAAAAATCCCCACGGGCAAAGGGACAGGAAGATACAGTCCCCAATATGAGAAGAAGTGTCCACAGAAACAGATCCATAGATGACCTAGATGTTAAAACTGGCAGGAAGCTTTTAAAAATATAAGAAAAGACAAAAAGGAAGAGAAGGTACAAAGGGCCCCTATTTATCAAAAAAGCTGAATCGATAAGGAATAAGTCTGGGCAGGGCCATCAGGCAACGGTATACACACACACAGCATGCGCGAGGCCTGGGCTCCGTCCCAGCACCAGGAGACAGAGACAAGACAAACAAAACCCCACAGCACAGCAGCACAACAGAACAGAGAGTAAACCTCACAACCACGGTGACGAACAACCTAATAACAACTGAGGTGACAGGTTGTTACAGGTAAGAACTGCCCCAGGGTGGAGGGGCCCTGTCACATCTGGACTGCCTGCTTGGCACACTCACTGTCCAGAAGAGGGCAACAGACAGCCACGTATGAGTACAACCGCAGTGGCAGACAACCTAAAAACCATGGTGACAACCTAACAACCACGGTGACAGACAATCTAACAACCGTGGTGACAGACAACAACCATGGTGACAACCCAACAACCACGGTGACTGACAATCTAACAACCATGGTGACTGACAATCTAACAACCATGGTGACAGACAAACTAACAACCACGGTGACAGACAACCTAACAACCACAGTGATGGACAACCTAACAACCACGGTGATGAGCGCTCTCGGCAAAATGGGGAGAGGGAACCTGCCCACCTTGATAACAAAATATCTACCAAAAGAAAGAGAGAAAGTCCTGTGACAAACCCATCCCCGAGGTTGAGGAAACAGGCCGTGGCCCTCAAGACCCAGGGACAAGCGAGGCTTTCTCCCCCGCCACTTTCAGGCCATGTCATCATGGAAGTCCTTGGGAATGCCACAGGTTCTGTAGGAAACAGAGAGCTGTCGGGAACCCTCCAGGACTAGGGCGCTGAAGGATGGGTCGGGACACTGTGCACTCCCCTCGCCTCCCCATGCAGCAAGGAGCAAGGGCAGGGCCAGGAAAACAAGGCCATCTACCCTCTCCCTGAGTCCCTTGGGAACACAGCTAAGGACACCTGTTGAAAGGAAGTCCACATGAGGAAAGTTAGACACCCCGATGAGAAACCAGGCAAACGCCAGGAAGACCAGTGGCGGGAAATCCCTTCCTGGACAGTGGTCAGCCAGGCTTCTACAGCTTACCTGCCCTCCCATCAGCCGGCCTGTCCCCCGCCTGCAGGGCACATGGCACCCCCTGAGCACAGGGTTTCCACCCCGTAATTCTTAAAGGGGTTCCAGGGATGCTGGTGGCCTCACCCCTGAAAAGCCCCAAAGGCCAAACTGTCCGGTGTCCCTCTGCCTGACTGGCCGCTTCTCGGGCTCTCCACCCCTTGCTGGGGGCTTTCTAGACCCCTGGCCTACCTTAGATCAGGCACCCTCCACCTCCAGCTCCCCCTGACCCCATCTTCTCCCCACCCACTGACTGGCCTCACTTCAGACCTGTCTAGAGCGCGGATGCCCCTCATGCTCTGCCCCGTCCTCCTTTCCACCCTGCCCTCTCACTCCAGGCACAGTGACCTGATCCCAGATGGGCGATCCTCTGGCCTAGCTCAACCCTCCAGTGGTTCCTTGTTGTGAAAAAACCCAAACTCCTTGCATTGGTTCTGAAAAGCACTGACGGCCCCGGCCTCTTGCTCCAGGCTCCCGCTGCACCCCGCCCACGCCCACCCACTCCACTTCCCTGAAGAGTGCCGCCTTCTGTCTCCAGGTTCGCCTCTGGCCTCAGCCTCAGCTTCTAGGAAGTGCCTGGAGCCCAGGTGGCCTGTCCCTCCCCAAGTGCCCCTCTGGCCGTCCAGTGCTCACTGAGCCTTGCGAAGGTGCCTGCTGCTGCTCTGCTGCTCTGTGGACAGAACTCCCCGAGGTGGCCAGCAGCCCTTCTCGCAAGTAGTTATGTCCCCAGCGCCTGCCCACTCCTCTGGCTCCTGGCACACAACGGGCACTGGGTGGACATGATTTTGATGTGGGTGTTGTGGGTAGGAAAGAAAAGATGGCTCCCAAAGGTGCACAGGGGGTCAGCATACTGGGAAACACGTCCAAACGGCTTTTGGAGAAGAAGACAGCTTGGGAGGTGACCCATGCTCCCTGCCAGGGCCCCTGCCCATGGCTGTGAGATACCCGCCAAAGCCGGGCACCAGTGACAGACGGACACAGTACCACCCAACAGAAGGCGAAGAAAGCCAATTAGGGAGAAGGGCAAAGGATGGACTGAGCATCCAGAGGACACCCAGGGGGCCCAACAGGCTCCCGGAGGACAGACAAAGCAGGGAGGCCGAGCCCCCAGAAACGAGGAGCCATGGGGGGCTGTCAGCCTGGAGAATCTCCCATCATGGCCCCCCACCTTAAAATGCTTCCCCCAAACAGGACCTGAGGGGTCGCACACAGCCCGACAGGGTGCCCTGGAGATGGGAATCGTGTTCGCCTGTGACCACAAGGAAACGGGTTCCCCAGTGGGCACTCCTGATGCTCGGGCCTCCATGGCCTCACTGACAGTAGGTGGGCCCCTCCCAGGGACTGACAGCATGTAGAAGTAGCAAGACTCGTCCCGTGTGCACCCTCCACACACAAGAGCTCGTCTAGGGCCATCCTCTCCACTGCCTCCATGGGGTGTTCACCAGTGGAGCCCGTGTCCCCAGCCACCGCCACTGGGGCCAAGCACCAGCTGACACGGCTCCCAGTTGGTCCTCGGCCTGCCTCCCTCTACCTTCCCACAGAGCCTCATGGAGGGGGCCACACCCAGGCCCCCCAAGCACAGGGGCCAGGGGCTCAGGGAGGGCCCTTCTCAGTGTTGTACCCCACTCGCTGCTTCTCGTCAGGGGCCTCCTCTGAGCACAGAGATGGGGTGACAAGGTGACGCTCTGGGGAGCCTCCGCTCTTGTGCACCGCACAGCATGGCCCTGAGGTGGGGAGCCCCACAGAATGCTCGGCCTCTGCTGGGTGGGCGTGCTGTCCTGGGTGCACTTCTTCTCTGACTCTGTCACCGACACATGGCCCTGCTTCCTAGCCAGGGCCTCCAGGCTCAGGAACCAAGCAGCTAGGGCAACCTGTCTCCTAGTTCAGCCCAATGGCAACTCCTCGCGGCTCACAGAGCCACACCACCAGCACCGCCTCGGAGCGCCTCCGACGTGAGAGTGTGCCACCCACCGGGACCCTCTGGACCCGGGCTGGCATCTGATGGGATCCTGCTCATGCACACAGGCTGAGGTCCAGCTTACCCATGGCACTCTTGCCCTCACCTCCAAATCTCTGACACTGCTTTTCAATGGCTTTATTACCTGAGAGGTGGCTGCATCCACCAGGAATACGAGATGGTTCCAACAAAATGTCACCTGGCCACCTCAAGACACTCACTGGAATATAGGTACAGGGCAACCTGCAGGCTTCAATGCAGTGACAATCCTGATTGTCAGGGGGACCAGGGTAGAGGGACCGGGGGTCCACTGTGGGGGCTCCCTGCACTGTTCCCAATGGAGGTAAAAGTGATGGCTCATTGCTGAACCCTGCAGAGGCGAGATCACACGGCCTTCGTTCTCACAGTGTGCACAGAGAGCCCTCTCACCAAGTGCCAACCAAGGCCACTCGGGCATGAATAGGGTGACAGAAGAGGGAAGGGCCAGGGGAACCCAGGGAGGGGAAGGCATGGATTCTGTGGAGTGCGGGGTGCCCAGCACGAGCCTTGAGCATCCTGATTCTGCAGGGATCTGGCGTGTTAACCGGAGCCCCTGAGCCACTTTACACCCTATGGGTTACCACATAATTAAGGATTTCAGGAAAATCTTCAATATGCCCTTATTTTCATTTGTCTGAGAGTCATGATTCGCCCTTTAGAAATCATCTTGAACACTAGATTCCAACACTGCTGTAATCTCCTGACCGGCTTCGTGAGGACGGACTGCAGCGTTTACCTTCTCCCTTCCCGTGTTCTGCATCACTTAGTGATCCTAACTCGTGTACTTTGTGCTCTCTCCCACAGGGCGCTGGCCATTCGGACACAGGGGAGGAGGGTGTGGCGCACAGCTCCCCAGGACACCAATACCCAAGCCCTACGCGGGAAGGGTGTCCTCAGCCCCAGGTAATCACATGTCCTTAGAAGAGGAGAAGCGTCCTGGCTGGTCAGAGGGAGAAGGGATGTGGCAGAGCGCCCAGGGACACGGGAGGCTGGCTCTGGAGTGGGGACTACAGCCAAGGGTGCAGGTGGCCTCCAGGAGGTTTGGAGGCTGGACCCAGGCTTCCTGCAGAGTCTGCCAAGGAGGCAGCCTGCCTGACAAGGCCCAGAAGAGGCTGTGCCTGTAGACCCTGCAGGGGGTCCCTGGTGACCTGCCACCTGACAGGGAAAAGGAGACCACTGAGCCCTGCAGGGACTTGGGAGGGGCTCTGCTGAGCCTGGGAGCAGGGAGCAGGAAGAGCTGGAGAGGCCAGGGCAGCACAGGGAGTGTCACCAGCAGGGATCAGGAAGAGCTGGAGAGGCCAGGGCAGCCCAGGGACAGTCACCAGCAGGGAGCAGGAGGGAGCTGGAGAGGCCAGGGCAGCCCAGGGACAGTCACCAGCAGGGAGCAGGAGGGAGCTGGAGAGGCCAGGGCAGCCCAGGGAGTGTCTCCAGTAGGTGTGTCTGCGAGGTGGAGGCTCCGGAGAATGTCAAGGTCCCCCAGCTCCTCTTCTGTACAAATGGGCCACTGGGAAAGGAATGTGTGTGTGTGTGCATGAGAGCAAGTGTGGGCATGTGAGCACACGTGCCTGTGACGCTGGCTATGACACTGTGACTGTGTGTGACACTGAGCGTGTGGTGTGTGACCTGAGTGTGAGCAGAGAAAGGGGCCCCAATGCTCCACTTTCCTCCGCCCCACTCTCACCCAGAAGCCTTCCGACCTCGAAGCTCCCCTGGGGCCCATAGGACAGCTGCCCAGCATCAGTGTCCACTCTGTGTTGACGGGCTGCCAGTCCCGGCTACGCCAGACCCCCGCGAGTTCAGTGACACAGAGCAGCACACCAGGCTGAGCTCAGCTGGGGCTTTCTGCCCTGGGGAGTGGAGGGTCAGCCCTGCCCGTGCTGACCCATAAGGCCCTCCCTGGCCAGCTGCCCTGTGAGTGGAAGAGCTGGGAGGAAAGGCCACCGAGGCTTCGCCTTGGCCCAGTCAGTCAAGCCCTGCGAGTCCTGTGCCAGCAGCGTCACCACTATCCACAGTGTGCTCGCTGAGACAGACTCACAGTTCAGGGACTGTCTCCAGAGGAGGAACCACCCCTCCGATCCCCTGCTTAGGAGCAGCAGAGCACCAGCCAGGCAGGGAGTACTGGGGACCTGGGAGAGAGGACCGAGGTGGCTGGCGGCCGGGGTGGCCGGCTTCTTCATCAGGGCTCTGGGAAACCTGCAGCAATGCCCTCCAGGCCCACTCTGAATGATTTCCTTACCTGCATCAAACTTGCCAGGTAATGTCTGAGCAAGAGACGGCTGCTGTCCCCCACCCACTGCCCAGGGAGGACACAGAGGCTCCTGGAACTTCAGGCATTGGTTTAACCTTGCAGCCACTGAACTTCAGAGCCAAGCCTTGACCAGGCTTCCCATGCCAAGTCCACCACCTTGAACAGAGCTGGGTGTGTCCTCCAGGGCGAGGGCACCTTCTGTCCTCCACCACACATGCCTGTCAATCAGGGTGGCCTAGCAGTTCTGTGGAAGGGACCTAGCATGTCCATGGACAGTGCCCAGAGGACCCTCCAACCAGGGGTCCTCCGCAGCCTCTCCCGTGCTCAGCCCTCTGCAAGCTGCTGGGGACACCGATGGGTGGTGAGCAGCGCCTGCTCTCAAACAGCTGACACAGCAACAGGCCCACCCTGGAGTAGGAGGAACCGCAGGCTGGAGTAGGGCCGGAGCGGTACCGCCAGGAAGACCCCAGGACAGGTGCCCTGCCCGCCATGCCAGGCTGACCCCAGGGTCCACAGTGCGTCCCAACAAGGAAACTGAGGCTAAGGGCGGTGAGGTCACTCACTCATGGGCACCCTGTCCTCTGGCTGAGCAGCTGTGCTTTCCCACCACACTCAGGGCCCAGACTGGGACCCACTGCAGAGGAATCTCCACCAGCCACAGGCCCACTCCCGAGGGCAGACCCTGCGCCCAGCCCTCACCCCCCACCGTGCAGCAAAGGGCTCTACTTACATACTCCTTAATGTCCTTGGACTTCACAGCCTTGTAGGAGTAGTATGCAGGGTAGAGGGTGCCAAATATGAGCCTGGATGGGAGAGAGGGAAAGCAGAAGTGTGGCTTCCATTCATTTTACTTGGGGGAAGCTGTCTGTCTTGGGGCCAAGAACAGTCCTCCAGGCACAGAAAGGCTGCTGTAGGACTGGGTCCCTCCTGCCTGGGCCTCTAGGTCCTCCTGCTGATGGCAATTGTCCCTGGAAATCCCCTGGCCCAGCCCACCCCTGCTTCCTTCAACTTGTGGTCTGTCAACATGAAAGGATGGTTGGGGGTCACAGAGGCCACAGTGTGGGGGTCCAGCTGAGCAGCCAAGATTCCTGAAATCAAAGGCTACCTTTCCACTACGGCTGCTGACCCCCTCTGAAGCCCCACAAAGCCTGCCCAACTGGACTTGATCTTTGATCCTGTAGCCAGAATAAGCTTCTCCCATTGTAACCGTAACCTGGTCAACCCCAGCGCATCCCCACCCCACATTAACCACTGTTCCCGAAATGCAGAAGCAAGCCAGGCAGGGTGGCCATCCCAGCACACCCAGAGATTCCAGCAACTTGGAAGGCTGAGGCAGGAGGACCACAAGTTCAAGGCCAGCCTCAGCAACTTAGTGAGACCCTACCTCAAAATAAGAAAATAGAAAGGGTGGAGGTGTGGCTCCATGGTAGAGCGCTTGCCTGGCACATGCAAGACCCTGCGTTCCACCCCCACACCATGGGGAAAAACGCAGGCGCAGGGACCACAGCACCAGTGGGACTGTGTGGTCATCGGCTTTCACTGCTGTGCCCTGTCCACAGCACCGGATGGTCTGCTCCGTCTGATGTGAGCGGCACAGGGTAAAGTGCTCGCTAAGTAGGCGTTCACTGCACAAAGCTCCAGGGTGAAGGGACACCATCCTGGACACTCCTGACCTTGGGTCTGAGGTCTCAGCATCCAGAGGGAGGCCCTGCGTGGGCTGAATCAGCAAAGCTTCAGGCTCACTATCCACTCTGAGGAAATGTCACCTGTGTCCACCAGGCAGGCCTCCCCCTGCCTGGAGGCTGGGGCTGGGCAGGTCAGCTGGGAGCCAGCCCCTGCCCCTGGGTCCCACCACAGACGAATTTGCATTTTGGTCTCAATGATAATTAGCATTTCACCCCTTGGGGGAGGGGCTTGCAACCCTCCTAATCTGCTTTGGAGGAAGAGCAGTGAATGCAGCAGTCCCAGCCAGGGGGCACTGGTGCCTGTGTCCTCAGACCAGGTGCCCCGCAAGAACCTCTCCACGCAGTACTGTGCCTTCCAGCCCCCCCACCCCCCAAGCCCCAAGGCCTCCGGTCACCAGTCAGCAGTGTGCCAGGTGCCAGCGACCCGTGACTCTGGCGGCTTTCTCAGAGCCCCCATCTGAATGCAGGATCTTCCCCAGCCCAAGACTGGTTTGTTAAAGCCCACTGACCCTTTAAGGCCTGTCTCAGGAGCTCAAAGGAAGCCCCACTGGGAAACCTTGCGCTCCTCCCTCTGGGGTGTCTGCAGCCCCTCTAGGCCTGTGGCCCTGAGTATTGGCAGCCCTAGGGACATTTCAGGCAACACTGGCACTGGGCATGCTCACCTGCGTGGGCTGACTGCAGATTAGGGCTAGGGCTAGGGCTAGGGCTAGGACTGACAGTGGGCTGGCCCATTCTCTGTCACCTGGGACTGGACATTTTGGACGACCTTCACAGACCAAGGCCCTGGGGCTCCCCATTCACACCCAGCTCTGGGTTCACTGGGGTCCAAGCGCCTGGAAGAGCCCCTGACCAGGTGGGTGCCTGATATGTGTCTTTTGAGAAAATGATCAAACAACTGTCATTTATCCCCAAGGAACGTAGTCCACTCTCCAGTGACAGCCTGCAGAGGCCAGGAGGAGAGTGGTCAAATGTGTACAGGCTCCATCAAGGCTCAGGCAGAGCAGGGTGTCCATGACAGAGCCTCACAGCGCCAGGGGCCCAGGGCTGGCACCCACCCTCCTCCTCCTCATGTCAGTGCCTGTGGCCAGCAGCCCCCTCCAGAGGTCAGGGGTGCCCGCCTGCTGCCACCTTCTCCTGTCTGTGCCCCTGCCCCTCTTGCTTCAGTTAGGACCCTTCCTCAGGCTGCTCCTCCCACACCACCCACCTGCGCCCTCCAGAAAGCAGGGGTGGCCGGAGGCTCCTAGGAGCACAACACTCCAGGCGGCAGGTGCCAGCAGGGCGATCCTGTTGCCCAGGGGCATCTGGGCGGCACCTGGAGCTCCTTCAGTTATCATAGCCAGGAGGGTGCTGCTGGCCTCTGGAGAGCACATGTCCACAGGGCGTAGAACAGGACGCCCCACAGGCCTTCTCCAGCCGAGAGCCCACAGGACATGCTGGAAACCCTGGCCCAGCAATTTATTTCCTGGTCCTCGCACCATGGACTCTTCCCTGACCTCCAGGCCAATCTTCCCTAAGAGAATGTCCAGTGTCCCAGCAAGTGCTCAGGTAGGAGGGGACAGTCCAAGATGGTGGGCACCACACCTACCCATGGGCCAGCATTGGGGAACACAGCTCTGCGGCCCCTCCTGGAGCTCTGAGCAGGAGGAGGTGCTGCTCACACACAGTGACCATCCAGGTGCCCAGAGGAGCACTGGGCTGTCCCGGGGCCACAGATGCTACACAGGCTGGGGCTCCACTACAGGCTCCAGTGCTGCCATTGCCAACTGAGTCCAAGACTTGTTGAGAGCCACAGCCGAAGGGGCGCCAGTAAACTTCCAGCTGCCAGCAAATTTCCAGCTGCTGGCTGATGATTGGCTCACAGCGGCCCCAGCAACATCTAGCTGATTGGCTCCTCTGCGGTGATGCTCATTGGGCTGTTTCCCTGCCCTCTCAGACCACGGAGCTGCTCATTGGGGGACTTTTTTGGCTCCGCCCACATGACCCAGCCAATCGGCCTCAAGAGCAGGAGGACTGTGGGAGGCAGAGAGAGGCTTGTGTTGGAGAGAGAGACTTGTGGGAAGCCGGTGGTGGCAGTTGGGGCTCTGAGGGTTTTTCCTGAGAGGCTGTTTTGTTTGGCGTGTGTGGTTCTAAAAATAAAGTTAGTTTCTTTTGACAAGTGGCTCCTGATTGTGCCCAGCCAGACTGCGGCATTTGGTGGCCCGTACGGGGAGCGACTGAGGGTAAGTGATAAGGTAAACTGCTCGCCCCTGAGGGCAGGGCGAGAGGATGGGTAGCCATTTTAAGATTCCTCTTTTGTTTTGCTTCACTTTTGTTTTAAGTTGCCTGTCCCTGGAGATGAGTGAGACGGAAGAAAAACTGCTCACATCTGAGGAAAAACTATTTGCTTCTGAGGAAGAGATAGGGAGAAAGGTTATAATGATTTTTTGTTGTTCCACTTTTATTTCATTCTATCTCGGTTTTGTTTGGTGTTATCTTGTTGGGTTGTATTATAGTAGAAATATGGGATCAGAAATTAGTAAAAAACAAACCGAAAGAGTGTTAAGTAAATTGTTAGAGGAAGGAGGCATCCCAGTAAAATCAAGAGCAGTCAGGGCATAAGTTGATACAATAAAAAAATGTAGCCCATGGCTTTTTAAGGAGGAGTTGTTAAATATATCACAATGGAACCATCATGGTGAAGATTTAAAAAGAATAGAAAAGAAAAGCCCAGGGACTCTGCCAGTTGGCACATTGCCATTGTGGACGTTCGTATCTGGTTTGCTTAGTCCAAAGCCTTCAGTTCAGACAATGGTAGAGGAAGGAGAAGACATATTGATTCAAGTAAAAGAGAAGGTCTCTTAAGTTAGTCAGACACAGGAAATGATTCAAGTAAAAGAGAAGGTCTCTCAAGTTAGTCAGACAGAGGAAAAAATTCAAGTAAAAGAGAAGGCCTCTCAAGCTAGTCAGACAGAGAAAGAAAGTGTAAAACAGAAAAAGCCATCAGGGGGAAAGTTACAACAGGAGACTGCTACTAACACCTTTCTATCACCAGAGGGTGTAAGTGTCCAACCAACAGCACCACCTCTACAGGAGACTGCTACTAACACCTTTCTATCACCAGAGGACGTAAGTGTCCAACTAACAAGGCCACCTCCATATGCTGGGAGGCCCCCAACCCCCGCAGTTGATAGTTGGGATCCTGAGACAAGATCTCAAATATTAACATGCCCTGTATTTGAGGCAGGAGGGCAGCGAGTTTACCATGTTTTAAATTTCAAAACAGTGAAGCAGCTAAAAGAAGCTGTAACAACCTATGGTCCTCAAGCACCCTTCACTGTAAGCATGGTCGAATCCATTAACAACTTGAACATGACGCCAGCAGATTGGGCTAATATGTGTAAAGCTGTGCTAAATGGAGGACAATACCTGTTATGGAAGGTTGCCAATGAGGAATTTTGCAAGGAGACGGCTAGGCAAAATGCAGCAGCTGGTTATCCTCAGAGAAATCTAGATATGTTGTTAGGAAAGGGACCTTATGAGGATCAGCAGCAACAAATTGCATATGATCCTGGTGTATATGCACAAATTGCTGTAGATGCAATTAAGGCATGGAAGACTTTACAAGGACATGGAGGTTTACAAGGTCAATTATCTAAGGTAATACAAGGAGCTAATGAACCTTATGCTGAATTTGTAGATAGGCTTATTCAAACAGCTACCAGAGTTTTTGGGAATACAGAACAAGCAATGCCATTACTAAAACAACTGGCTTATGAGCAAGCGAATCGTTGATGCAGAGATATCATTAGACCATGGAAACATGAAGATTTAAACACATATATTAAATTATGTAGAGACATTAATGAACAAGAGCAAGTCGTGGCAGCTGCAATAAAACAGGCTTTAGATGCCAGAGACATTAATGAACAAGGGCAAATTGTGGCAGCTGCAGTAAAACAGGCTTTAGATGCCAGGCCAAGAGCATGCTACAATTGTGAACAAACAGGACATTTTAAAAGGAATTGCCCCATTGGAGGAGGGTTTAACAAAACTAGGTATCAAAGGAGTAGAATACCAGGTATTTGCCCACGATGCCATAGAGGGAGACATTGGGCTAATGAATGCCGTTCTCAAACCAC